CCAGCAGGTCAGTCCCCAACCTGTACTGACAACAAAACTGCCCTTTTAAACCTATTTACTCAGCTTTTCATGAATTGCAACTTATTAACAATGCACCCACACAGTCATAGAATCACAGAATTGTCAGGGTTGGAAGGGACCTTAAAGATCATCTAGTTCCAACCCCCCTGTCATGGGCAGGGACATCCTCCAAATCTTCCCTCAAAGCTTTTTTGTACAAATATATCTGCTTATCGTGGTTTCTGACTCTCTCTGGTGAAGACTCTGGTCTACTTGGCTTTCTAGTCTGCTTCTGTCCGCTGCTTGAAGAAAATTAGGATGAATGAGTATTGTTAAGGGAAAATACGTTTCACTGAACAATGAGTAATAAAGGGACAAAGGAGTCGATGCGATGGGTGTAACATGGCTCGTTTCCACAGTGGCAAGTGTGTGTACACACGTTTGACAGGCATAACAGTGCAGCAAGAGACAGGAATAACATATTACCCCATGAAACTCCTAGAGAGAGATTCCAGCAAGAAGAAGACAAAGAAAGAGCAGAGTCAATGACAAACAGAAACATAAGGCTGTACAATGCCCCTCCCCGCACATACGGGTATGTGCTGGCAGATAATCCCATCCCCTGTCCCGCATCCCCCAACTCATCAAAATAAACAAGCAAGGAAGCAACAGGTTGGCTCTAGATCATTTACCCTTCCACCCCCCTGCATGCGTCAGCCCCTCGACTGCCGGGCAGGCAGGGCAGACACCCCTTCAACCCCTCTGATGTGGCTTGAGGTGACAACTCGGGACCTTTGGCAAACGCCGTTTGCTTTCTCGGCGAGCAGCGCGACGTTCTGCCACCTCTTTGTGGTCGAAAACGTGAAGATGCGATCTCTTTGCCGCTCTTCACCAGCTCTTTCTGTTGAGCAAGCACGTTTTACACCCGGGGCTGATAAATTTTGATGACAAATTTGCTGGCCTGCTTTAAGCTCCTCTGCTTCTATTTCCCTAAAGACTAAAATGCGTCTGCCTGCTTGTGGCGTGTTTATCTCTAGGAAAAGAAAGGAACTTCTCTTTGAAATAATTTGCTAACTGGAAGACGTTTTATTATCAGCAGCAGTAATGTTATTAATGTTTGTAGCATCTCACTGAGGGCGTTGTTTAAAAAAATTATTATTATTTTTTATCTACAATCAAGCACAGAATAGCTTCTAAAGAGCTACAGGCAGAAAGGGGACTGATAACTGGTTTGAGAGGCTGAGATGAAATTTGTGAGCCTTGCGGCAATGACCAATACCGTTTTGTATGCCTAAACAAATACAAGCAGTTGTAATATCCCAGATGGAAGCGTTTCAGAGAACTCTGTTTTGCCCAGGTTTTCAGCGACACATCTGCTCAGCAAGAAGTTGATTCACATCACCTTCACCAGACGCCAGTGAGGTCAAGAACATGCACGAATTAAATCACACCCAGCGGGTGGCAATCCCGGATCTTTACAAACACAGACTGCTAACAGCCACATTAAATATGTTTTCCTGTGACACTGATGATGACTGACAGGACTGTAGCTGTTTGCTTCAAAAAAAAAAGCCAAATAACAAAACAACAAAGATTACCCAGAAGTCCGTTTTCAGGATAATCAAAATTCAGCAGGCTCGGTGCATCCATCCTGTTTGACCGAAGGACACGGTTGAGCCAAGGACATGACTGCCTGCCCAGTTTTCATCCGTGCAGGCTGAGACTTGTTAGTATTCATAGCTGCACTAACGGGAGCAGAGAGCAAGTCATCTCCTACAAAGGAGTGGGTTTCCTGCTCTCAGGTTAGCCCAGAGATACCACGAGTGTTCTCTGAATTGGGCGTCAGCACTCGCCGCCCGCTGAACCACGGGCACGTAGCAGGGCTTACGGTCATAGACACAGTCACAGAAGAAATGCAAATCTTCCCCAAGTCTCAGAAATAGGTTTGACTCACTTTAATCTGAGAGACAGTAAATAGGCAGGCGGGTTTTTATGCCTTCGCTTTCTGCAAATCCCTGCTCAACACTTACTCAAAGAGCATGTAAAATAGAAGCAGCTCGGGGCACGCTTTTATGAAGCACCGTCAGGGGATGTACAAAGTAATTTATTTAGAAGCTGATGAGGTGCTGTTAGATATTCACGGTTCAATGCGAGCAATAGAAAACCTGAGCGCAAAAGAGACTCAGAAAGATTAAAAATTATTCATTTCAATTCATAACTTGTCCAAAAGAAAATCTCGTTCAAAGCGAAGATGTTCTAAAGGCAAAGCCTGATGCTTGTTCTCATGGCACACGGAGTTGCTCTGAAGGGCTCAGAGACTGCCCCTTCTCCCAGCGTGCCTTGAAAGTTGAATTCTTAACAGAAAAAAGAAATTCTCAGTGAACCACAGACTTGAGTAATATTGTTTTGCAAATTAACACTTGTGACTAGTGTTATTTAACTTTTATCTCTCTCTTCGATTCAGGGGAGCTCCGTTAACTTGCTAAACGTTTTTTTGGTAAGTTTTTTGCCTAACTCAGTCTGACCACATCCAGTTCTGAAAGATGTTGTGCTAATACTTGCTGGCAAACCGAGTCACACCTATGTCTAGTCAAGCCTAAAAAGTAGCTTTGTTTGGGATGCCAAATTTTAGGTAAGCAAGACATTCACCAGAGAAACTTGGCAATTCCATCTCAAGACAACCGTGCTTACAACAGAGCACACAGCATCTCTAAAAAATGAATTTCTAATAAATAGGGACAAGCTCTTTAAGGAGGGGAGGGAAGGGTCCCTTCAAAAATCTTGTATTGGACATGACTTGCTCAAAGGTCTAAAAAATTCTTTGGTGTAGGCTTGAGCACAGAAAGCCCAGACTCCAATATCCTCAAGTGTCACTTGGCTCAAAAATCCTACCAACAACCTCAAGCCTGCCTCCTTCTGTCCGTCCACTCCTCGGTCAAATTAGCTTAGCATTTACTAGAAAGAATAAAAGATCTAAAATACAAATCTGTCAGTCTTAACGCCAAAGGAATTTTGCCACCTCAGAGAAACTAAAAACTCCTGAGAAACATTCCAGAAAGGTCCCAGGAACATTTTGTGCTGCAGAGGGACACACCAGTATTTTTCATCGGCAGAAGACATGAGAGGAGCAACAGATCCGGTCGCCTAGATCTAAAATACAAATCTGTCAGTCTTAACACCAAAGGAATTTTGCCACCTCAGAGAGGAGCAACAGATCTGGTCGCCTGCCTAAAAATTACCATCGGTCTAAAATAGACGAGACACGCTTCCGCAGTTGCTTGACAAAGGTGAATGCTTTTTCTCATTAGCAAGTAAAACACTGCTAATTTCTTCACCTTCTCGAATCATCACATCGACAAACTGGTGACTGGAGTTTGTGCACGGGCTGCTAAACACTAACTGTAATTACTCACAGCTAATTTAGCCGAAGATTAAACCGGCCAAGTCCTGTAGCCTGTTTCCAGGTCATCTCCTAGAATTTCTCAGGAAATCATTTGCAATACAATTATTACGTGGCCCAGAACTATACATGGAAAATTTCTTTCCATCATCCAACATTGAGCTCCCCAAATTCTGAAGAACTTGCACTGCTCTTCTTCTGGCCTCGTCGGAGAAAAATGCTCAAACAAAAAGCTAATCTTAATTTTAAAAAAGCAGCTCCTCTGTGTGTGTTGCTCAAAATCCTCCATGACATTAAACAAGCACATGGAATGTTATTTAAAGTCATAAATACAAAACTGTGATTGAGGGAGGCAGCGATTAGCCTAAGAAGTGAAACTCTCTGGAAATGCAAGCACCCTGAATGAGAGAGGAGGAGAGAGAAGTATCAAAGGTATATGAACCAGAAATATCCACGACCCTAGAAATAATGTTCTCTAAAGAGTTCACTGGGTTATAACCTGATTTCATTAAATATTTTTTCATAGTAAGAGCAATTTTAAAACAATTGCCTGAAGACACTGGACTGTCACAAATTGTTACGACGTGTCCTTGAAAAAAAAGTCACAAAAATCTTGCCTTAATATTTGAATGAACAGTGAATGGACTCATCCTAAAGCTGGGACAATTTTTAAGAGATACTACAGCCCAGATTTAGGGATTTTTTTCTATTTTCCCCCTCAGCTACAAGACAATAGAGGACAGAAACTGAACATTTTCCTGAGAAATGGAGCCACAAACATCATGCTTCGATTCTCTCCGCGCCAGGGTCCTGCCTCCTCTGCAACTTATTTCCTAGAAATGGGAATGTTCAGGAAAATGTACTTACGAGAAGGCAAATGCCACCAAGGCCCCACTGACCACAATGAAGTCCAGGATATTCCACAGGTCACGGAAGTAGGAGCCAGGGTGGAGTAACAGCCCCAAGTCGATCATCTTTGGAGGAAACACGTGAAAAGAAAGAGTTTTAGCAAAACAGGTGCCAAATCAACAGTACCAAGATGCAGAGGAACGTCCTTGATGAAATGACCCTTCATAAACTCTTCTTTGCAGCAGCAGAGAAATGTCTAGCTACCTAGCCAAGCTGCTCGCCTCTCACAGGGGCAGAGAGGTCTCTCAAAATCAAAGCTGGAGTCAACAAACCAAAACCAAAAGCATGAGAGACAAGAGTACCAACTGCTGCGCAGGACTCCTCCCACAGACACGCGTTAATTTATGGAAGCAGCGGTCTGTGCGTGGAATATCCCCATGGTTTAATTTTATTCTACTCCAATCTGACCAGATTAGTAGGAATTAACAACTGGCATGGGATGTCACACAACAAAACACAAAGAAAGGATGGGAAGACCCACAGCAACAGTCAAAGCAACACCCCTGGCTCTACAGCGCTCGCCGAAAGACGCGGCTGGGGGAGCAACTCGGCTCCCTTCTGCACGGGACTGAGTCCCTCCTTACAACACTGCGAAAGGTCACCGACAGTTGAGCTCAAAGTGCACGCAAGACACTTTATCTGGTTTTCTGAGAGCTCTACAACTGCCCATGTAAGGCGGCTCTCCTCACATAGCTTCAAATCCTTCTACTGAACTGTCCTGCTTTTTTTATTATGCCTCTATTTTGCATCGTGCTCTGATAGCAAAAAGTAGCTCCATCACCCCCTCAAATAAATCCTGACTGTATTAGAATTGTGCTTTCTGGAAAGTCACTGCCTCATAGTCTTAGCAAAACCTATCCGGGTAAAGGAAAAAAGAGAAATCCTCAACTTTTGGAAACATTTCAGACCAAAAAAAATCAGCTACTATTAATATTCCTCATCACCATCAAAGGAAAAGGGAAGATTCAGGCATGTCTCAGTAAGGTCAATCATCTGCGTCCTTAGCCATGCACAGACATTTCTGCACCAGGCATTCACATTTCTTATCCTCTTACTCAACACCAGCTACTAAAGATATCCTTATTCCTCCATAAAATGTGAGATTAAAGAAACCAGGAGAGCTGCTAGAGGCATCTGTTATGCACTGGTGTGTCCTAGTGCTGTTGCCCAGTTAAAAGTCTCCATCATCACCTCTCGAGGCGCCTCAGGGAGCTCTGCCGTGCTCCCCCCTTTTTCTCCAGCTTCCCAGAAGCAGACAAGTGTAAATCTAAAAGGGGAGGTGAACTTTTCCGCTCAGGAAAAAATCTTACCTTGATCACCATCTCAAAGGTAAAGACACCCGTAAATATATAATCCAAGTATTTCAGAGCCTAAAGGGGAAAAAGAAATGTGTATTAGGGGAGATCACACGCTGAAATAACCTGCACATGAGTAGAGTGACAAGTCTACTCTGGCAATGGTCTATTTGCTACAATGAGCAAATGTTGTCTGATGGGAGGTTTTCAGGTAGTTTAGGCACAAACTTAAATCATCTGATTTAAAGAGCAACGTTTTTCCCAGTCCTTGCCAGACTGCAGTATGCATACCCAGGGGCTGCTTCGGTGCACCTGCATATATGGCAGGTTTAACAAGGCAAAATGGATATCTCAAATCAAAAGACTTTAATATCCTTTCCTAAAGAGCTTATTTGCCAGCATCTGTGTAGCAGCCTGCGTTCCTCTTTTGACTGTAGCTGATGATAGGATTATTAAAGACCTTGGGAGAGTAAGGGAGTGATAAAATCCTTATTTATCTGAAATAACTGACTGCACAGTTATTAAGGATAAGGAAGAGGGATCACTTGTAGCTACTTCACCTTGTTACTGATATAGGGATTCGTGGATCCCTAGCTGGAAAAAGCTAATACCGACCAGGTTCAGAAGCAGGAGGCCAGACCAGGCAATTCCTGCTCTGACCTGAGCTGTGGCTTCATGCTCTGAAACAATTCAGTTCCTCAAATCTGTTTGAGGGGTGGATGAACACAGACTCCTCAGCACGCGTGCTGGTAAATGCAACAACAGCCTATTCAAATATTTATAGATCTCTGACATTTTAACATAATTCTGTGGGTGGGATGCACCTATTCACTGTCAGATTCATAGGATTACACATGGAGAATGGATATTAAGTCAATATAAATATCCCATGGTATCAACATCCTGCAAGCATCTACACTGAAGTGCATCTTGCAACTTCTGTACTCTTCAGTTCTGCAGACTCCCAGTTGTCCACGGAACTGTAACTGGCTCTGGGCCAACATCCTCATGGGAACGTGCTGGGAGAAGCAAAATGGTTTGATTCTTGTCACGCTGATGGCACTCACATCGTTCCTCGGTGACTCGGCCTGGACAGGGTCTTCTGCAGCCAGGGCAATGCTGCTGAGGGCTATGACAATGAGGATGACCATCTCGAAATAGCGCAGGTTGACGATGTAGTGGAACAGACGCCGAATCCTGCAAACAACAGAAGCACACAGAAGGGCTGCTGTGAGCACTGGGAGCCAAGTAGGGTGGTATGAACGACTGGCAAGAAGGACAACGCTCCTCAGGGATACCACCTTTAAGATTCCTATTGCAATAATGCTAAGAAAATAAGAAGGGTGGTATGAACGACTGGCAAGAAGGACAACGCTCCTCAGGGATACCACCTTTAAGATTCCTATTGCAATAATGAAATAATGCTAAGAAAATAATGCTAAGAAAATAAGAATTGAGATCGATGGCTTTAAATTCCCGTTTGCAACAGATCTGTGGTGAGAATTAAATGAGATGTTTAACATCTCTGCTCTGCTCTCTACTCCTCTGTAAAGAAAGAGCATGCATCCATCCATCCATCTATCTTTCTATCTATCTATCAAAAGGGCACTGAGAGATTTCAAGCATTCAGACTCAATTCTACAAACTATGTTCATATACTCCCCCATGTTTTTTACTTTGAACTCACTGGCTAAAGTCCTGTGAGTTCAAAGCTAGGTTTGAAATCCCTTTAATATCAACTAATCCCTTTAAAATTGAGATACATTCTGTGCACTCGGAGACTTTTGGCTGAAATTGGCTTCATAACCAAGTATTATTTCTACCAACCTTTCTTTTGCCAAGTACCTCTGCCTACACATTATTCTAAGACATGCTTTATAAGCTGCACAAATACTTTACAATAATGTATTTGATTACATTAACCTAGTCTTTTTCTACACAAATCACGTTCAAGAAAAGTGACAAATGCTTCAGTTTCTGAGCAATGCAAAACTATTCATGGATTTAACTCTATCTGACCACAGTTCAGAAATACTTAATTGCATAGAGATCTCTACATTTGCACCACTTGGGTTCTGCCTGAGGATCAAATTATACGTGTAACTTGCCAACAACCTTGTTGTCTGAGAATGTAATTCAGTTACTACATCACTTTTTCTCTAAGCAAATATCTGAAGAGTTAGAGTTAAAATTTATTTTTCACATTTACTTATATATATCCTTTTCTCTGGATTGCCAATGGATTCAGAACCAAAAAAAAGAGTTACAAATACCAAGGAAACAGATTTGAAACAAAATAACACAAAGGGAAGTGACTTTGTGGATCCCTTAACTCTGGTTACCCATCCAACAGAAGATTATCATCTGTGTGCTTCGTGAATCCATAGAAGCGAAAGGCAACACTTTCAATACCATTTGTAATGGTAATTCTTGCATCAAACTCAAGTCAAAGAAATAACAAGCCCCCAGTTTTAGACCTTCATCATCCATAACAAGCGGCGAGATGTGGGAGCATTTGTAAACCACCTGCGGTGCTTGAGAAATCATTTTAAATGCAGGTCTGCTTCAAGAGGGCGCCGACACTTGGGAAGTAACACGTTTCATTCGGGCTTCTCGGAAGCGTTTTGGCCACAAGCAGCACCCAGGTCAAGCATCCCCAACGGGGCGTGGAAGGGAGGTAAGTCAGCAACTGATGTGCTGAAAACTGGAAAGGTGAAAGACCTCTCTCGAGAAGCTAACACAAGCCAAAACACCTGAGGGGATCTAGCTGGGTCTGTGTCTTGCCTAGAGGAAGAAAAGCAAGTTGCTGACATTCCTACACTTTGCTCTTTGCTTTGTTATTTCCCCTTGGCCCTGTGTTATAATGCAACTCCCTCAGTGAACTTTGTTTTTTCAGTGGTCAAGTACAGCTTGGGGAGGAGCGTGCTGGGGAAAACTGCAAGATGACTGAAACAACAGACCTAATCCAGGACCGTGAGGCTCAGAAGGTCATAACTTTAGGGTGAGGTGAGGCTCTCACAAACATATTTACGGAATGAAAAAGTCCTGCTGCTTCTCTGTGTGCCCGGTGCACTCCTCAGCTCAGACCCTTCTGGGCTTGGGAGCATCTTGCTTCCCACTCGGCAATGCTTGCTCCTAGCAGATATTTTGCAGCTAACACTCATTTTTGGTGGTCGCACCAGAAAAAAAGGAAAGGCTTGAGCTACTAAATATTAGGGAAATCCAACCAGATGGGATAAGCTCCATAATTCAAATTGGACCCCAAAAGTATAATTACGCTAAGAGTACACCTCATCTAATTCTCTGCCCGTCTCTTAGCTGCCTTTTACATTAATTCAAAGGACATGTTGCCTTATTGGAAATAGCATAGTGCTATCACAGAGTTTCGAAAAGGGGAAACTCCCTGGGCTTTCAGCTCAGTTATCCGTAAAGTGTCCCGAGATCCATCTGGCCGGTGCCTGGAGAAGGCAACCACAAGTGTGTTTCTTGTGGGTTTGAGACAGAAGGGACACGTACTGAGTCTTCTGTTCATTTCCTTCAGAGATGGGACTAGATTAGCAGTAGTTTGGGGCCATTCTCCCTCTCTAACAGCTGCCATTGCGAGATAGTGTCTAACTCCTCGCACTGATGAATTCTTCCGTGCTCATAGCTATATCATCTTGGAGCATGCAGGGCTGTAGCCTGAACCGTGCAGCTGGCACTTGTGTTGAAAAAAAGGCTGTTTGTCCAGGGGTGCCAGACCATGGCTTCCACCTCAGATACATTTCCGATGCCAAAGATGAGTACACGGAGAAGCCCGTTTTGTTGCACCCACTGCACAGGCAGCCAGGAGGTCACAGTCCTCAGTGCCTAGAGGTCCTTCTCTTGAATCAAGTTGCCAGAGGAAGGGTCTGGGTTCACCTTGGGTATCTGAGCATGCAGGGTACAACCTCAGAGGGCACCATCTAGGATCTGCAACAATTTAACCTAAGCCAGAGACCACATCTGCTCCTAGGAGACCTCTGGCTTGGCGGAAGTTTCAAATGCCCTTTGTTGCCCTAAGTTATTGCTTAAAATGACTCACAGGCTTCATGCCACAATTATTACAACCCCTGCTGCTCTTATCTAGTCCTGCAGTCCTTCAGAGTGACATATTCAGTATTTACAGGCTTTGAGCACAAAGCTCCCCATGAGGCAGAGGCGCCTGAAGCAGAAGAAATGCTGTGATCCCAACAGATCCCACAAGCTGTGCTCTCAGCCTCAGCAAACGAAAAACATTCACATTTTCCCAGAAGTTCAGAGCTCTCAGTGATGCGAGGGTAGGGTACCAGTATAGCAAGAGCACAAATTCCAGCTGAGGAACCTACAAGAATTTGCTGACGTCAAAACGAGTCCCCAGCCTGCTTCTCCTGATAGCGTCGTCTCCCAGCGACCGTCCGTGCTCCCACCCTTCAGATCTACAACTGAGCAAACAACTGCCCATCCAACCATCAGCAGGGCAGTGCGGAAGGGTCTGCCTCAAACACCAACTTCTCCCTATCCTGGCAACTTATTCCCCCAGGCAAGCCCAGCTGAAAGGCAGCATCTGCTCCGCAGCCTACACAGGCTTTAGTTTAATTTCCCAAGGTGTTCGCCTGGCAGAGATGAAGATCAAGCTAATGCTATCGCTTCAAAGACCCATGCTTTAAGTACCTGTAACCCGTGAGAGGTATTAGAGAGCCAGAGGACTTACGGATTTGTGGGACTCAAGATAAACATGGAACTGTAAGGCAAGATTGGTTTAGGCCCGTTTTTCGTCAAGTCATCGACATCTTTCTTCTCCTCCGTTTTACTTTCAAATTCCACGTTGTTCACTGAAACGCCAAGGAACCAGAAATGAGAGAGTTAAAAACGTATCAGCAGGCTGCCTGCAACAGCTGGATATGCAAACAATGCAGCTGGGATAGCAAACAGCCTTCGAATATGTTGATTAAATGTGATGAACAATTGTTCGATTATTATCACTGCTATTTACTAGGGTATGATATGCACTGCAATTAGACTCCTTAACTGCTACACTGATGAGCAATATATCAGAAATGGCCAGGAAATGAAGATGCCCAGTGCAGACAGACAAAGAAACCTTACACTTATTTATACAGGCTGGGGATGGAAATCCCCTTCCAAATGCCACAAATTATTAGGGAGAGAGAAGGGGCTAGGGACCTCTGGAAAGAAAAAAAAAAGACAGTAGGACTAAGCAGTCGTATAATTCTGTAGCTTCTCCCAAGGATCGGTAGCATGACTACCTTTGGAATGTGTAAAAGAGTAAATTCATGGGCAAGCTTTAATAATTTGGGAGCCTAAGGCTACTGAACTTCCCCGTATTGGGAACAGAGACTTGGAAGGTCCTTCTTGGACCCCCGAGCTCTGTGCCTGCAGAGTGCACCGCACTTTTGGCAGAACTCCCCATGCATAAAGGTGTTGAGCTCCATCTCACATCAGGTTTTTAACTTACATCATCTCCTTCTAGAAGACAGTTCTGAAGCTCACCCCCAAAGGTTAGAAATACATTCTTTAATTTCCATCATAAGTTTACTTGTAGTGGGTTTATAGGATAATTTACTTAAGATAAATTTCAATATATGAACTTGGAAAACAATTTGTGCTACAAATTCTCTTCTTAGACAGATATATACACGTCTGCTAATTCACAGGATCTAGAAACTCCAAACCCCACCCACTTATAATGTGTTAGGTGCAGATTTCTTATTACTTTTTATTTTATTTTGCAACAAAATGAAATTTCATTGTGTGTGAATGACATGTTCAATAAACTCCTCATTATATTTCAAGCCAGATACAGAGGAAATGGCCAGGAAAGAGAGAGGCTGATAAATTGTGATTGACAGGAACTCAGTATTGCAATATAGTAGAATTGCTATTTGAAGAAAGGAGGAGGAAGGGAAAAAAATATTAGACAAGTCTTGTATGGCTGACAACACAGTGAAAAAGGACATGAAGAAACTGCAAGCTTTTAGCTGTGCCTCTTAGAAAGCAGAGTCCCAATGGCCTGCAACCTAGCATGGACCTCCTCAAATTGAGCCTGCAGTTCTCCTTGGCACCCCCAGCCATTGAGATTTCTCTAGGCTGTGCCTACACGGCCACAGATGAGCCCCAAGCCAGGCAAGAACAGGCTGGTGGCTGCAGAGCAGACCGCGGGCACAATGATCTTGGGACCATCTTTCAAAACAATGTAAATCTACACTGACAGAGCCAAGGCACAGAGCTCTGCAGAAGCACGAGCTAGGGTGGACCTGCTGAAACCGAGATGACAAGAAGCTCTGAAACTACACAGCCCTCAGCAGGGCCACACGACCTGCAGAAATGGCTTAGTGCTCTCACTTACTACATTTTGCTGTTTTTACTCACTCCTTCCTCTTTCTCTAGTACATCCATACATGGTGCTCAGGCACTGGGATGCACTGCCCAGGGCAGGGGGGAGTCACTGTCCTCCCTGGAGGGGTTTAAGGAGGGGCTGGATGTGGCACTTAGTGCTATGGTCTGGCCCATGTGGTGGTGGTGGTGCTGGGTCATAGGCTGGAGTTGATGATCTCAGAGATCTTTCCCAGCCTCAATAATTCTATGATTCTGAGGGTGTGCTCTGGGTGAGCCATCTCCAGAGACCATTAAGTGGTGTTTTCCAGAGCCTGCATCACCAAGTTCTCTTGCACACCTATTGCAAGGGTGTGTGTGACCGGGAGAGCTCCCATCATGCTGCCAGCAACTCGGCAAATCAGGTTGTTGGGGACAATTTCATAGCAAAAAGCAGGAGGACAAAAGCACTCACTCGGTATGACAGTGGTTTCCCCCGGCGGGGCGGTGATAGTGACGGGGATGTTCACAGTGGTGGTTTTGTCCAGAGGTGGTTGAATCATCCGCGTCACGTTCTTCTGGTTGTCAGCATCTTCAGGCTGCTCCGGGACTTTCTGCAGGTAGGTGCGGGGAAGTGTGTGCACAGGGACACTCACGCTTCCACTAGCCTCAATGTCACATTGATTCTCTCTAAGACAGAAAAGCAGATTTTATTACATATGGCCCAAGAAGGACTCAGAGAACATACGTACCCTGATGCTGCACCCCTTGCTATGTTTCGCAGACTGCTTTCTTCATGGAAGTCCATTGCAGAAAAGTCACAGACTGCAGGACAACTTACAGACGGCGCAGCCTGTGACCTTTTCCTCTGAGACCTTCTGAACCAATGCCCAGGCACAACATTAAAATTGTAGAATCACAGAATTGTCAGGGTTGGAAGGGACCTTAAAGCTCATCTAGTTCCAACCCCCTGCCATGGGCAGGGACATCCCCCACTAGATCAGGCTGCCCAGAGCCCCATCCAGCCTGGCCTGAAAAACTCCCAGGGATGGGGCTGCCACCCCCTCTCTGGGCAACCCATGCCAGGGTGTCACCACCCTCACGGTGAAAAATTTCTCCCTAACGTCCAATTCTAACCAATCCATCTCTAGCTTTAATTAGGAGGAACTGTGCCACTGAACATAACTTATTCAGTCTAATGAGACTCGGAGCTGAGGTTCATAAACAAGGACCACATGGCACTTGCATGTCACAGTGACATTGGCTTTCCAGCATCAGCTAGTTTCTGAATGAAAGCTGACATTCTGCTTCTTAATGTTCTCCTGGGGCTTTATTTAAATGTGGTGATGCTCTTCTCCAGTCCTAAAGCATTCTGTAATGTTGCTGTAAGTAGCTAAATAGCTTCTGCATTCCTCTGCAGCGGGGGCTATGTTTCAGTGAGGTGGAAAGTGAGCTTGTGCACATGATCAAACTAAACAGTATGCAAAGTGTTTTGAAATCCATCTGAAAGGAAAATAATATAGACAGGAAAATTATTATCTCAGTGCCACTCACAGCTCTCCACGGTGACAGGAACTCCATTCTAAAGAATCCCAGTGAAATTTCGTTTCCATCAGACTAATAAAGCTGAAAAGGCAATCTATCCTTCTTTATTAACTACTCTAAATGCTTCACGAGAACTATTTTTCTCACTTGACTTACATGAGAATTAAACCAAATGGGGTACATCATTGCTCTTAATGGAAGAAGCCACGTGCTGTAAGAACTGGTGATGCAGCTGACAGGCTCACCATGAAAAAAGGAAAACCAAAGGGCTATAAGCAAGACTGGATCCCATTTAAAAATACATCCCTCAGAGCCTTCCTTCGAAGGCCGTGAAATTCTCTGCTCCACGTTACGTCCTAGAGGGTCTGTTGGCATTTACATGAGAACTATTTCCTTCCTTAAACCTGAGCTATTCTATGGGCCATTATGGACCCAAATCATCTTTGGGAGCCTTTGTCATGACCGATTTAAGCAAAACAGAGCAGAAGGTTTTGGTGGGAGCTGACATTCGTGCAAACACAGCAGCAGGGAACGCCGTGGTGAGATGAACAGGTAATTTCCCGACCTGTGTCCGGGTTCTCATGTCCCCTGAGCTGTCCCAGGGATGAGTCTGGCCACGCAGCATTCACTTACTTGGGCTGATGGTTGCGGTGCTCCTTCTCGCCAGCCTCTCCCTCCTTCTCGCCGTTCTCCTTCTCCACCGAATCGTACGTTGACAGCGCCCTGTTCCTGAACCTGTGCCGTCTGTGAGGCTCTTCTCCATTCTCGCCCTTGGACCCAGGCTCTCCTTCCCGGTTCCCAGACCTCGATCCTCCCCGGTGTCGAGAACGCCGCTCGCTCCTGGCCCCGTTGATCGTCCCATTGCCTTCCTTGCCTTGCCTTTCAGCAGAGTGCCGGTGAGTCCGATGCCTACGGTGCTCCTTCTCGGCGCCTTCTTCCACCGACCCTCGGCGATGGTGCCTCTTGCCCCCTTCCTGAGTCCTGTTGCGATCGCTTTTCCCTTCTTTACCCCCTCCTTCCACCTCCTTACTGCGGCTCCTGTGCCCCCTGTGCCGCTCCTCCTTGGTGGTGCCAGGTTCCCCATTCTCATCCTTGGTCACGTCCCCCTTCTCTTGCTCTCCCAGTTTATCCTTATCCCGATGCCGGTGGTGCTTTCGCGGAGCTTCTGCCCCGTCGGCAGGGCTGACTTTGGTCTGCTCCACCTCCTGCACGTCCACGGGGCTCAGCTTGCTGATGTTGTTCCTCCCTTCGCCTCTCGGCTCTACCACCAGCGGCCGGTCCAGGTGAGTCTTCATGTCTGGCCTGATGTGGAGGGTGGTAGCGTAACGCACTCGCTCCTCGGGATCGAGCTCGTTGTAAAGCGCCTCACAGCTGGCTCGGAAATTGTGCATCCGGATTTGGCTTGTCCTCTGCTCCCAAACGGACTTGGATTTGGAGGAGTTCTGCTGCTTGCTAAGGAGGGGAGGAAGGAGAAAAGTTAGTATCCAGCTTTGCACCCATTCCCTAAAAAGTAACCAAGGGGAAAAAAAATTTTAAAAAGAAAAAATTTTTTTCTTAGCTGAGACCAGGGATTAGAAGGTTGAGCCAAAGAAATTACAGGAATGGAGAGAGAATGACTGGCAGAGAACATGAGCAGGGAAAGCCAGCAGTCATCAGTGTTAGTTTGCCCACACGCGTTAGGCACTATGAAACAGGCCCTCTGGAAAGGAGTTATCTTGATTTCCGAAAGGCAAACGTCCCCTTTGGAAGCCTCAAGTATGGTCTGAAGGGTTAAAGTCTCTGTGCACAAAGACTCTGTAGCACAGCCAGAGCTTTTAACCAGCCTGTAAGGCTTCCCCACAACTAACTGCACCTTTCTCCCCACCTGGCATGAGCTGGATGAGCAAATTGCTGGTGAGCAAGGGAAGTTAGGCTGGCAGGAGGAGCAAGGGGAACAGAAACCCGCTCCCGAGGAGCTGAGCCCCAGCACCCTGCCACCTTACAGCCCGCCAGAGGGGTCACGTCCTGGGCTGGACCGCCCCGCCGGCAGTGCAGAGCTGCTCCTCTAAAACCCCAGCATCCTTCCGAAGTGAGGACGGCCCATCTGGAAAAGCGTAAGTAACAAAGGAAAACTGCTCCACAGACCATGAAATGACCCCAGAGGCTGGGAGAGTCACACGTAGATGCAGATGTGATGAGAGCAGCTTTATCCCCTGGGGATACCTGCTCGTTTCTGTCTCTGTCATCTCTTACGATGAGGTTCCCTTCTGCCATAACGCATTGGTTTTTCAGCACAATGCTTGGTTTCTGACCATCACATGGCAAACAGGTCACCTACCCAGCCAACGCAGCAAGGGAAGGCTTTTTTTTTTCTCCTTCCTCCTGAAGATTGCAAGTCAAATTCTGCTTTTGTATAAAATTGAAGCAAACCCACTGGCTTCCAGGGTGGAGTCCTGGATTTAGTAGAGACTCAGCACCTGTTTTCTTCCTTAATGACACTTCTAACAAAGCAAGGAAAACCATTTTCCTTCCACCAGTCTCCTCAGATGTCTCCATATGCCACACATTACTCTGGCCATGCAAGGCTCACCAACCTCCAGCATTTAATGCCCAGCACATGGGGGACGCGGACCCATTTTCCTTACATATAGTTTGGGCTCCCCTGGCAGTGGAAGCCAGCAGCTTTTACATGTGTGTGCGTGGATTCAGACAGTACAGATCTCAGGGCAGGCAGCACTCAGCAGGAGCTGTTGGAAAAGCTTTGTATCTCGGATCGGTTCTTTACGGAGAGCACTGCTGCCTGGTTCTGCTAAAGAGGTAAAAAATGACTTAAACGCTCCCTGCAATTGGAGGGAGGGCATCTAGTCAGATGTGAAGGAATCTGATTTTATCCAGAAATCAAGGTGAGCGGAGCTAATCACAAAACCAGAAAAATCTGCAGCCACTGTTCCCAAGAGGCACACTCTGGATGTATTTTCCAGCAGCCGAGTGCCCCATATCACACCACAGCAGAACCGGTGACAAAAATCACAGTTCTAAACATATATTATAGCAGAAGGTATCATCACTGGGAACACAGCTTCAAGCCCCACTCACCTAAAATCCTCTGCCAAAGGGAGAGCAGGCTCCTCGTTAGGGGAGGGCACCCTCCAAGCTGGCACAAGGATGATCCCCCTCACCAGAGCAGGAGGTCACTTGCCCTTTCTTTTTGGTTCAACATTCTGAAAGATTGAAATGCTGTCACTCAGCAGCAGATTTACCCGGGTTTGGAAGGAATTAAATGACTAACATGCAAAGCCTGCGACTGCCCAGACCTGCTGCCCCCTGCAAGGATTTCCTAGGAGAAGCCACATGCTCTGCATACACTGCTCTCTCCCATCAGCAGAGATGGGTGCAGACATGGAGCTTTCTGGGACGGGCATCCTGGGATGTCTCGTGTCCTCTGGGACAGACAGGGTGCTCTGTTCCAGATCTAGCT